GAAAAGGTAACTATGGGGAGGAAGTGGGAGGGGAGCTGTTGCATTGTGGTAAACTGTGGTCAATGTCATGAGACAAAATATATGTGAACCGCTGTATGGAAAGTGAATTTGTTCTGCAAAACTTCACCCAAATCACAATTTAAAAAAAAAAAACAAAAAACCTCACTGCCATCAAGTTGGATCCGACTCATAGTGACCCCTCCTTTGGTTTCCAAAGTATCACTATGGAAGTAGATTGCCCAATCTTCCTTCTGAGGAATGTCTGGTGGGTTTGAACTGTCAGCCTTCTGGTTAGCAGTCAAATGCTTTAGGCACTGCGCTACCAGAGCTCCCCAAACTAAGTAAAATGTTGGGAAAATTAATTAAGCCTTGGGTAAATCCTGGCCAAATAAGCAGTACCACAATAAATGGATAAAAGACTGCAGTTGTCACAGATTTCATATTACTTGGTTCCAAAATCAACACCAATGGAAGCAGCAGTCAAGAAATCAGATGAGGTAATGCACTGGGCAAATCTTGCTGCAAAAGACCTTTTTAAAGTGCTGAAGAGTGAAGATGTCTCTTTGAAGACTAAGCTGTACCTAACCCAACCCATGGTATTTTCAATCACCTCATTATGCATGTGAAAGACAGACAATGAATAAGAATAACTGAAGAAGAGTTGATGCTTTTGAGTTGTGGTGTTGGCAAAGAATACTGAAAGTACCATGGCCTGCCAGAAGAATTAACAAATCTGTCCTGGAAAGGTGCAGCTGGAATGCTCCTTGGAAGTGAGAATGGCCAGACTTCATCTCACCTACTCTAGTCATGCTGTCAGACGGGATTATTCTCTGGAGAATATCATGCTTGGTAAAGTGGAAGGTCAGCAGAAAAGGGGAAGACCCTCAATGAGATAGTCTGACACAGTGACTACAACGATGGGCTCAGGTATAGCAAGGATTGTGAGGCTGGCACAGTACTGGGCAGTATTTTATTCTGTTGTACATAGGGTCGCTATGAGTCGGAGCCCCCTCAATGGCACCTAACAATAACAATAACAACAACAAGTGCTTCAGTTTGTCCAACTGGAAAACGGGGACACTAATAACCTCTTCACAGGGCGGCTGTTGTTAGCTGCCGCTGAGTTGATCCTGAGTCATGGCAACCTCATGTGTTACACAGCAGAACTGCGTACAAAGGGTTTTATTGTCTGTAATTTTAACGAAGCAGATCACCAGGCCTTTTCCTCTGCAGTACAACTGGATGGGCTCAAACTGTCAACATCAGGTTAGCAGTCAAGTGTAAATCATATGGTGGTCAAACTGCCACCCAGTGACTTTCAGAGTGTTATACAGTAAAACTTGTGAAAGCTGGAAACTGTGTAAGGTGGAGACTGTCAGAGAAGGAAAATGCAAATATTTTCCACTAAAGCAAGCAATAATAAAGTGGTAAAAGTATATCTGTCAAAGGCAGAAAACCTGCAAGATCCAGAAAAATAAGGTATTCCTATGAGTTCTGGGTCTCACAGGTTTCACTGTAGTTAAGAAATAAATTAAATTAAGTATGTAAAATGTCTAGAACATACCTGACACACAATAAAAAGTTAATTTCCTTCCTTGCTTTTCTGGGGAAGTATTACTTGATCCTTGATTACTCCTGTAAGTCAGTAGCTCTTAACAGAGAAGGAGACCTCCACCATAGCACATATTCCCAACCAGATTACAGATTAGCTGGATCCATCCAATGTGGATATAGACAACTCCTCTCCTCCTCTAACTCTACTGCACTGATATAAACACTCATTGTCCTGGGTAGCATCCTTGATTTAAAAAATAAGTCTATACAGAATAAACTCTTGAAACACAAAATAACTAGTGGTAATAAATTAACCATTTAACAGGTATATACATGTGCCAAACCAAACTCACTGCTGTCGAGTCAGATCCAACTCATAACGACCTCTCCTTCGGTTTCCAAGGCGGCATCACTATGGAAGTAGATTGCCCAACCTTCCTTCCTTCTTTTTTTGGTTTACAAATGTTTCAAAAGAAAACAATAAATTAAAAATAACTTTTCAAAATTGGCTTGAAACTGCTTTAGCATTTAGGGCTGTGTGAACTACCTTATAGGAACAATCCTTACCTTAGGGTCTCAATAAAACAGTGGTCCAGTTTGCTGGGTGCCTTTCCAACTCATTCTGAGAAATGACTCTACTATCAAGTGAATTCTACACTGGTATCCAGTAAATATTTATAAAAATACAACTAAAGAAATGTACATGTTCAATGGGAATCAGAACTGTTGTTGTTGTCGTTATGTGCCGTCGAGTCAGACCCAACTCATAGTGACCCCTCCTTGTGTTTCCGAGGCAGTATTGCTACGGAAGTAGTTTGCCCAACCTTCCTTCTGAGGAGTGGCTGCCTAATACTTCCTGTACCAGGTTCAGGCTGTCATCAGTGGAACCAAGAGGAAAACCATTTAGGGTCACCGTAAGATACTTTGAGCTTCAGCCAAGAAGAGAACGTGCAAAGGTTAGTGCTGATCAGTGTAACCCCTTCAACTGCAAGTCAACAACCAAAACACAGAAGGAGCATCAGGTGAATACAAACCAAGTCACAGGGGTTCAGGCAGCTATGTGGAAAGCACTACATAACACATGGGACTAAATGCACAGATGATAAAAGGAATTAGTAATTACTGGTCAGGGAAAAGAAGTCATTATTCTCATCAGGTACAGGTTCAATAACAGCAAAAGCCAGAGGGATTAAGTACACAGAGTTCTTTAAGAAAAAAAAAGTTATTAAATTCAAAATTAAAGGAAAAGGCAAAGATGAATGTTTTAAGGGTAGAAGAAATAGCAACTTTAATACCACGCCCCAAGGCAATAAATGGCACTGCTAATGGCAACACCCTGTAGTAATTTAGTAGATGAACAAAAACATGCAACAGCTAATATAGTTTGAGTTTTTATTGAAGAAAAGCTCCATTCTCACTGGCTTCATAAAAGGAACTGGGATTTGCCACAGCATGCAGTTTTTCAAAAACATCAAAATTCTTAGCCTCCAGCAACTAAGTGATAAAGCAACTAAAGTGGTAAAGCCTAAGTCCCAGATATGTTCAGTTTACTCTCATTGTCCATCTCTGAAGAATATGAGGCGTTAGAGCTGCACGAAAAGCCAGACAACTGATGTGCAACAGGCTTCTCCCTGGGTGGGCTAGCGTGACTATACTTACTGGAGTCCTCCCACTGGAGTAAGTGTAGCTTCCACGCAGAATAATACAGAAATCCCAGTACCAGAAAGAGGCAGAGGGCTAGCAGCAGATTACGCACAAATACCAAGAGTCCCATCTTCACATGATTTGTGATTTCCTACATGACCTAAGGGGAAAAAGAAATCAGGTCATAAAAGATAAAATAATCATCTTATTGATACATTCTATCTTAAAACAAAGTATCTCCAGAGAGAATTTCCAAATGAAAGGCAACCTAGAATTACCACCAAGTTCTTGACATGACATCTTCTAACTTGTTCATCATCATCTCAAGGAACAGCTCCACCAGTCACCCAGCACTCAAGCTAGAAATAAGCTGTTATCTCTGCATCCTCCCTCTCCCTCATTCCTGACGTCCAGTCAATGACTGAGTTCTGACAATTCTAACCGCCCAAGTAAATCTCAAATCATATCCCCCACCCACTACCACTACTCTGATCCAAGCATCACCATATTCCCTATCTCCTCTCAGAGATGCTCATAACACAGTAACATACGAAAAATAAATTAAGTGTAAATGTTATAAGTGAAAGGATAAAAAATATCATTTGCACATTATATAATTATCCATCTAGAAAAGCCAAGAGAATCAATTGAAAAAAAAATATATTAGAACTAAAAGCAAGTTTGATAAGTAGGTGACAATGAGATTCATTTATAAAAACCAATAGCATCTTAGAAACAATGCCAATAATAACCAATTTGAAAATGTAAAGGGAAAAAAATCCATTCATAATGATAAAAAAAAAAATCTATAAAATATCTAAAAATAAACTTCAGAAGTCAGCAAGATTTTCACTAAAGGACATTTTTTAAAAAAGACCCAAACAAATAAAACATGTTCCTAAATGGAAGGATGTTAGTGCAACTAGAAATTCAGTAGATCTATGATTGTTTCAAACTTGAATCTAAAGTTAATCTGTGCCCAACAAAACTTTTTAAAATTAAAATAATGAGACAAAGATTTGCCTTACCAGATATCAAACCCTGACCAATACTAAGAGAGATGGGTACTGGCACAGAAAATGACAACTAGATCAATGAAATAATCTCGCTATACACATACACAACACACACAAACGAATTCATTTTCTCTGTAAATACATATATATACTTATGGTTAAGCATATAAATACAAAAAAAAAAAAAAAAAAGTCTGACAGGACGTACAACCCATAAACTCATTGCCATTGAGTCAATTCCGACTCACAGTGACTGCATAGGATAAAGCAGAATTGCCCAATCTCTATAGATCTCCAGGTCTTTTCTCATGCAGAGCAGCTGGTGGGTTTGAACCACCAACCTTTTGGTTAGCAGCTGAGTACTTAACCAGTGTACCACCAAGGCTCTGCTTATATACTTCTGAATTGATTTTATTTATCATAGACCATAAATATTCCTCTGTAAAATTTGTAACATTAAATAACTCAAATAACACTTTCTAGGAATATAACTGGTATACTCTTTCAGGAACAATCTGGAAGTATCTATTGAAATTTACAACATTCATACATCTTGACCCAGCATTTCTACTTCTATGACTTTTTCTTAGAGAAACACATTGACAAATAATATAAAGAAAGATATATACATGAATGATCACTGGCAACAATGACTGTAAGAGCAAGACACTAGAAAAAATTTAAATGTCCATCAATAGGGAACTAGAAAAATAAATTAAGGTGCATCTCTACAACACAATGTCTATCAGCTGGGATCTTGGCAGGAACCAGATGGTACATTCAAAGGAATGAACTGAAGAAAGTTTAATGACAGGATTTTTATAGCTGTGTGAGTAGAGCTAAAGGAACAACAAGGATGACAACAGCAAGGAGCTATTTCCACCCTTCAGCCTGAAAGGGCAAGTTAAAGAAGGGTGTCACCGAAGCCCTTCTGAACTGAAGAAGAGCAGGAACTGAAGAAGGCAGACCACCCAACAGAGCAATGACCACAGAGGAACAGACTCCAGCAAGAACCATGGCAGGGGCAGTGGGGCTAATAAATACTCTGACCTCTCTCACTTCTGGCCCTCTAATCTCCTGTTGGTGCCTTTTAATTAGGTGATGATCCCAACAGGAAGCCAGAGAGCAAAGAAGCTTAGACAGTGCAGTTCACAGAGGTCACGAACTGTGCCTGGAGAGGTGGACAACGGATGTGCGAGGGCAAATGGAGAATAAAAAGTACAGAATGGGATGTGCCAGTGAGAAAGAATGAACACATTGACATGTACTAACATGGAAAATGTCACTGCTAAGTGAAAAAATCTAGTTGTAGATAATGTGTATGTTTGGTCTCATACTGATAACAACAAGGAGAAGAGTAATATTTAAAATTAAGGCTAAATATTAAATACATACATAAAAGGCTATGCATCAAACTATTGACAAGAATTATCTCTGAGAAGTGGGTTTGCAGGGGGTGTGTTTTACAGTCTATTTATTCATATATTTATTTTAGATTTTATATTTATCTAAGCAACACATATCAAGGAGATATCCTTGCTCCTCAGCACTTGAAACAGTTCCTTCGCAGTTGACTTTCCCATGCTACACGTCGTCTAATGTCCTGACTGCTGCTTCCATTGGCATCGATTGTAGAACCAAGCAATGTGAATTCCTTGACAACCTCAATCTTCTCTCCATTGATTGTGATGCTGCTCATTGGTCCAGTTGTGAGGATTTTTGTTTTCTTTATGTTGAGACGTAATCCATACTGCAGACTGTATTCTTCAACCTTCATCAGTAGGTGCCTTAAGTCATCCTCACTTTCAGCAAGCAAAGTTGTATCGTCTGCATATCTCAGGTTGTTAATGATTCTTCCTCCAATCCTGATACCACGTTTTTCTTCATATAGTCCAGCTTCTCGGATTATTTGCTCAGCATATAGATTGAATAAGTGTGGAGAAAGAATACAACCCTGACGCACTCCCTTCTTGATTTTAAACCATGTAGTGTCCCCTTGTTCTGTTCGAACGACAGCCTCCTGGTCAAGGTACAGATTCCTCATGAGTACAATCAAGTGCTCAGGGATTCCCATTCTTCTCAATGTTATCCATAATTTGTCATGATCCACACAATCAAATGCTTTTGCATAGTCAATAAAACACAAAGACCGAAGAAGAGTTGATGCTTTTGAGTTGTGGTGCTGGCGAAGAATGCTGAAAGTACAATGGACTGCTAAAAGAACTAACAGATCTGTCCTGGAGGAAGTGCAGCCAGAATGCTCCTTGGAAGCAAGAATGGCCAGACTTCGTCTCACCTATTTTGGTCATGTTGTAAGAAGGGACCATTCCCTGGAGAAGGATGTCATGCTTGGTAGGGTGGAGGGTCGACGAAAGAGGGGGAGGCCTTCAACGAGATGGATTGATACAGTGGCTGCGATGATGGGCTCGAGTATAGCAGGGATTGTGGGGCTGGTGCGGGATCGGGCAGTGTTTCGTTCTGCTGTGCATGGGGTCGCTATGAGTCGGAAACGACTCGACGGCACTTAACAACAACAACAACAAGCAACACATGTACAAAGTTTTCAAAGTAAAAGAGATTTTGGAGACTTGCATTTCCAACAGCACAAAGGACCATGTATCCTGAGTAACCCTTTCTATGAAAACAATTGAAAATTTAGGGTGTAAGCAGCCTGCCCACAAGGGGAAGGAGTGGTTCTTGGAAAGTTTGCTTCCCTTTCAGAAGGGGCAGGAGCAGTTAGTACCTTCCTGCTCCCTTCTTTCTGTCCTGAATGCAGATGTCATGTCTGAAATGCCACAGTCATACAGTGACCACAACCTAAGGCTCTGGCAAACACACAGCAATCAAGAGATTTATCCATTCATTCTACAAATAGTACAAGAAGAAGGATGAATATCCTACTTTTCTTGTCGTTGTTGTTGTTGATAATATGCACAGCAGAACACACCACATACAATTCAGAGGCACTGATTACATTTCTGAGTTGCACAACCTAATAATGTATTTTCTTTCTTTCTTTCTTTTCCATAAAGGAAAACAATCTTCAAATGAAGATACTAGACCAAATATTCCAAAAAAAGAGACTGATTTCCAAAAGTGATGACATACACTAAATTATACATGTAGAAACTGTTGGATTGGCAAATGTTTTATTGCACATATTTTCACTACAATTAAAAAAAAATGTAGATGACCTACAAAAGAGAAACCAAGGGCTTAAAATAGCTGAAACCTCAAAGATAAGGAGAACACCACCACCACAAGATTGTGAAAGAGAGAAAACTTCAAATGCACTGTAGGACAAAAGTTTCATAACACATTCTATAGCACAGCTGTGGAAAAACCAACAGGCACTCTCACACACTGCTAGTGGTGGATTTGGTAATATCAAACACAGTTACACATGCTTTTACCCTTTAACCTAACAATCTCACTTCTAAAAACCTACTGCAAAGATACACTGACAAAAATACAAAAGGACTTACATGCACGACCATTTACTATAGGACTATTTGTAATGTAACAGAATTAAATTGAAGCACTCCAAGTGTCCTTCAGTAAATCAAAAGCAAAACTGTTGCCTTCAAGTCAATTTCAACTCACGGCAACCCCATGTGTTATAGAATAGAAATGAGCTTCAAAGTTGGATTTTTTTGGCCATAATCATTACAGAATTAACTTCTTACAGAAGCAAATAGTCAGATGTTGCTGGGAGGGTTCAAACTGCCAACATTTCTAAGTTAGCAGTTCAGCACAAACCATTTGTAACACCCAGGAACCTCATCCTTCAATAGAAGGTGAATATACTATGGTACATCCATAAAATGGAGTATCATGTAGCCATAAAAAAAATGAGCTCTCCTTAACCCACACTGCAACCCACTCCTTTCCTTTCTGAATAATTTAATCTAAAATTCATTAGGCTTTAGGTGCTGAGCGAGGCAGGCATATGTGTCTGGGGTGAAGAAGGCTAGGGAAAGGGTATGAGTCCATTGTGGGGGATGTGGGTATGTGATAATAGGTGATTGGTTACAACAGGGGGAACTGTACAAATAAGTAAATATATTGATGCTAATGAGACCCACCGCCAGCCACTCCTTGGAAGAAAGATGGG